TTTCTGGAAAACAATAATTTTTTACATTTAGGCACTCCTGCAATAGTCACACTTTTTCTGTTACAAACTGACTCCRGCCCCCCACCAGAGAAGGGAAAAGTTATGTGACCCTTACAGGAAAAGGTTTGGGGACCCCTGCTTTAGGGAGTGAGACAAGGAGTTATTGAGGAGTATTCAGAAGCAGCTCAAAGTTATGGAGCTATTTGGGTCTCAATACAAAGTCGATATCAGAGACAGCAAACAGGTTTATAGAAGGAAGCTGGAGAGTGAAGTGCAGAGGAACAATATCAGAGATGTGTGGTCGGGGATGAAGAAGATCACAGGCTTCAAGCAAAAGGAGAATTGGATGGATGGAAGTCTGGACGGAGCAAACGAGCTGAACACATTCTTCAACAGGTTCAGCTCAGGAACAAGCTCATCCTCCTCCTCTCCTGGCCCCAGCCAAACAGACATCTCTTTCAAAATCACAAAACCAAACATTCAACATTTGTTTGAATAACTGTCAAGAAGTCATGACATTTAAAAACAAGAGAATCAGACAAAAATAAACAATTGATAAAATGCAATTTTAAGGAAAAATTATAATAAAGTGATAGACTTGGAATTTACTGTTTTTGTTCTTGTCTTTTGTCTGCTTAAAAACAGGCAGAAACAAAGTCAGAGGTTTTTTATGTGTGTGGAAAGAAGACAAATAGTCCAGTGTCTCCAAATTTAAGAAAAACAGTTTTTTTTTTATGTGTAAACATTGTCAGGATGACTGAAACAACTTCAAGGAGGTAAGAGTCACACTGATCATGCCACTCATGAAAGAAAACTATAATCTAGAAATAAATCTCAACAAAGAACCTGTAATAAAATTCCTCACAGTCCCTGAAGCCAAAATGCTTCTTGATTGAGCACATGATGGAAACAGGACATCTATTTGGTATGATTTTCAGATTGATGTAAAACCTTTACATCACATATAAATCTGATCAGTTGTTGATATTTAACAACCTCAACTTTACCAGTAATGACCTTTAACACATTAAAGGTCATATTTTACTGTCCAGAATGAAATTCCAGAAACAAAATCACTTTCACATCTTAAGTTTATTAAAACACACACATGCATTTATTTTCAAATTTGGTAAAAACTTCAACTAAACGTGGAAGGCTTCAGGGTGTGGAGAGATTTGAACATTTTGACATGTAGTGAGAGCAAACCATCAGTCAGAAGCATCTGGTTCAGATCAGGTGCAGAGTGCAGGACAGAAATGTGTCAACCTAAATGTAATGAAGCAGCTGATCTGCAGTCCTGATGCATCTCACTAATCCAGGTAAAAAATCAAAAAGAAAAAAAATTGTATAGGTCTTCTGGACGGGTTCTTCTTTAATGAAACGTTTCGTCTCTCCTCCAAGAGACTTCTTCAGTCTGAGAGTTTCAGGCAAAATTCAGGATTTTAAGTCCTGCACACACACGACAGGCCCTGGAGCAGTGTGGTTANTGTGTGTGTGTGTGTGTGTGTGTGTGTGTGTGTGTGTGTGTGTGTGTACGCTCTGTAAAACCTTGTAAAACCTGAAGTAGTCCGACTCCAGGAGAGTTTGAAGTTTAGGGAAAAGCTGGTCGTTGTTGAAGCGGTCCAGGGTCTCCACGTCACAGGCACAGTCGTCCAGGTCACCTGTGACCTTAGTGAGACAGAAACACGTATGAGGAACCCTGAGAGTGTGACATTTATTTATTAACCTTTATTTAACCAAAGGTGAATGTTTCTTGTGTTACACCTAGTTTCATCATTTAGTATCCAGAGTTGTAAAGTAACTAAGTACAAATACTTTGTTACTGTACTCAAGTAGAAATTTTGGTTATCTGTACTTTACTTGAGCAATAAATAATTTTCAGCCTATTTTTTTACCTCTACTCCTTACATTTTTAAAAAGGTAAGAAGTAGAAAGTCATTCCTCCTTTATTACGGCTCCTTACTGGGTTTTTTTTTTTAAATACTACCCTGATAAACTGCACCAGGATAAAGTGAATTTAATTGTGGTTGGATGAGAATCATAAATATTTACAATTCTGGACACTGTATAAACAATCCATCACAGCTGCACACCTTTAAAAAATGTCCTTTTTTAGAGAGGTCATCTCCCAATAAATGTATTTTGGAAAATTTATACCACTCACTTTTACTCAATACTTTTAGTTTTGATACTTTAGTACTTTTCATGTCAGAAATTTACTTTTAATACTTAAGTACAAAATAAATCTGATACTTTAGGACTTTTACTAAAGTAATATTCTTAGAGGAGACTTTAACTTTTACTTTTTGATTAAGTTCCTGATGCAACATGTTCAGCCTAACTTTCTGCTGATTTCTGATGAAGTAGCATTTTGTTTGGTTTATGTTCATAAGAAAAGACAAAATAGTATTTATAATCGAGACAAGGTAAAGTCACAGAAATAAAATGTTAGGCTTGTCCTCGTTCAGCTTCCGTAGAGTGTTCATCTAAAATAACCTGAAGATGGATTTAAAACTAACAAATTTTCAAACCAAGCGTTCATCACATCTACATTTTTTATGAGTTTAAGTTATATTAAAATAACAAATCGTGGGAAAGGCGGAGGATGATAAACTCACCTGACAGAAACACCTGCCGTGAGCAGACCCGAACATATGGAGGAGGAGGAAGACCACCAGCTTCATGACGACCTTTACGTTTTATTCTTTTTGGTAATTTAAGCTTTAAGCCCGCTCTCTGTTCGTAAATGAGTTAAAATGAGAAAATCCAAACTGTCAGTGACTACAGCTGTGAGAAGGCGGTGATCCGGTGTGAGCTGTCACTTCCTGGTTTCCTAATTTCCCATCCGCTACGTGCCGTGCGTGTCATTGTACGTGACCGTCCGCACGCTGTTGCCTACTGGCGCTGACGAGCCGTAGGGCCGCCATCTTGGAAAGGTCGCCCGCTCCACTCAGTGATCAGTTTAACAGGCGCAGTGAAGTAACTCGATGAATGCGAAACTGATTTTCACACTTTTTTGTTGCAAACCTTTTACATACAGCTAACATAGCTACATGTTCATGCTTATTTAGATATTTTAGGGGGCTTAACAGTAATACAATAAATATTCTAATGTGATGTTTGAAAAGTAAAACAGGTGTGTTGGAGCAGAGAAATAAGTCAAATATGCAGCGCTGCGGCCCTTGAGGACCAGGATTGCTCACCCCTGGTGTAAGAGAATGATAAAAGTTGGCCTGTTGAAAAAAAAAAAGGAAATATTATAATACATATTTAAATTAATTGTTGCTCAAGAATGAGTTACTGTTTTTTTTTTAATTAGATAATTATTGTTTAAATTTATTTTTTTGGAAAAAGGGGGCAAATATATATTTTTTCTTTTTCTGCTGCCTTTTTATTTGTGATTTGTATGTTTTATAAATAATTGGTGTTGTTTTCTTTTAAATAAAAAAAGTTCACTGAGTGTGAAATAATTTATTGTCCATTACAAAACTCCTGTGGCAGTTTCCCCCTCAGGTTGCAGTGAGACCCACTGAGACAGAGCTGACAACCGCTTACAATCAAGAGAGAGCGGGAAAGAAGGAAAACATGAATCAAGAATTTGTAAACTCAATCTTAGGCTTTTGACTTCACAACAAACCAACTCCAAAAACGCAGCAGAAACTGGTGATCGTGGAGCTCACAATGTATTTGTGTGTGTTGAAGAAAAAAAGACCCTTTAGGGCAGTGGTCCCCAAACTACGGCCCGTGGGCCAGATCTGGCCCGCCTCCCCATTTGGTCCGGCCCCCAGAACAATACCAGAAAGCATTTAGTTTTTTTTTCATATWTGTGTATTTGTATTTGAGTGTAAAAGTTGGACTTTTGCAATAAAATAATCCTTAGTTATGAACTATTTTCATTATTAACTATTATTAGTTAGTAACTATTTCATACATACACGCACACATTCTGTTCCACCCTTCTGCAGTCTGTGCCCCTATCTGACAACCCCCAGAAAAAAATCCTAACCCCGCCCCTCTCAAAGAGAGAATGGAATAATGGCGAAAAGATTAGGAAAGTGAAAAACTGATTCAGAATGCAGGGCATTTAAGCTGCAGGGGACAAACGATTATT